TATGTTCTGAGTTTACAGTGAACATTTTACTTGCATCTCAGACTTTCATCAACTCTTTTTAAAAGGATGAGACAAAAGAAAATCACAAATGAACACTAACAGTCTAGAGAGCCACACCTCACAAATACTGATTACACTTGGCAATAAGACTGAGAATTCTTAAAATTGGACAGCTTTCCTAGCAAATACATTTGGCATGTATGAAGCCCAGTATTATGTTATGGTGTTGCTACACTCCTAGTGCTTGAAAATATTTCAATCAATGGGTGGAGAAGGGAAAAGCAATATGATATAGTCAGGCGCTAGATTGAGATTATGCATGCTTTACCATTTTTCTCCAAATGTATAGATGCTGATGTTTCAGTTTATAATAGGCTTAGTACCAACTTGCACTCACCCATTCTTAGTCCTTGCATGTAAAGATAATAGATAAAACCTGCTGTGACATATTCTTCTATCCCTGTTCATTAAGGATCCCATAATTATGGGGTAATCACTCAGAACACTTCCCAATACAATCTTGCAACCTTACCATGAGGCATTAATGGTTATTTTAAAAATAGCCTATCAACTGGTCTTATGGTCAGGAGCATGGAAGTTGCTAAACTGCAGCTCGCAGCTCTTCTTATCACTGGCCATGTTGGCTGAGTGTAAACATCTGTGAGAATGTCTTTGAGAGACAGGAGGAGGAGACAGCAGACTAGGCAAGAGTCAGATATGAGGCGGTTTAGTTCACAGAAGCAATGGGGACATGGCAAATACCTTAGAAAGGACCCTCCCTAATTTCTTGGAAGTAAAGGCGAGGGGGAAGAGATGTAGTTTCAGACTTACACAATTCCGTTAATGTAACCTTATAATAAAATGAATGTTAGTATTCGGGGTTTGTCAGAGATGACACTGAGGATGGTGGGAGTTGCAATTTAATACTGCCTTCTCACTCCTCTTCTAGATTGTAATGGAGCAGGTGATCCTGTAGATTATGATGTAAAGTACAAGTTCTAAGTGTGATGGGCAGAAACCATTTTCCCAACCTGGCACTCCCTGGAAGCATCTAGACAATACAATTGTTTATAATATTGACTGGGTATTCTTGGAGAGACAAATGGACTCCACCTGGAAAGGTGATTCAGAGATTTTTTTTTTTTCAACCCAAGTGGGGTGAGGCTCATATGTCACCTACACCAAGCTTCCCCCATCCTAAAATACCCTGCACTGCTTATCGACTCTGGGGCTAAAAGTTCTTTCAGCTCCCTATCGTCTCTGGACCTTGGCTGAAAGAGCTCCCTGCTGAAGGATTTCAGCTCTGTGCTTGCTTGCAGAGCTGAAATCCTTTCTGCCTGCTTGCACAGAGCTGAAATCCTTCAGCAGGGAGCTCTTTCAGCTAGCCCTCAGAGACAAAAGGGACCTGCCAAAGGATTTCAGCTCTGTGCAGGCAGGCATCAAGGATTTCAGCTCCATGCAAACAGGTACAGAGATCCTTTAGCAGGGAGCTCTTTAGACCATCCCCAAGAAACAAAAAGGAGTTTTTCAGCAGGTGTGCAACTTTCAGCAGTTTGCAACTTTCATGGAGACAACTTTTGTGATAGTCAGAAGTGCTTTACAAGCACTTCATTCAAACTATCATTAAGTGAACAGTGGTAAGTTGAGGACTATCCACCATACCAAAGATTGTTTCAACAGCCTTTGTGGAATTCTTTGTCCCCAAATATCCAGCAAGTTGACTTAATGGAAGTGAAGATACTGCCATTTCAGGATACTTTTCATTGGGTTAGTAACTTGTCAGTTCTCTTATCATGATTTGTTCTGGTTGGGCTGCTTCTGACTTTGAATGTTGCTATTTGCTGTTTGATTTGCAATAGTGATGTATGCGCCTGCTATTTTTATGACTATGTGCCTCAAGTGTCTGCATGGGTGATATATGCTTAAAAGCGATATATATATATAACTTACCAAAAATTCTCTCATGAAATATTTTCAGCTATACATTTTAGAGAAGATGAAGGACCACATTTAAAAAAAAAACCAGCAAAAAACCTTAGGTGTTTCTAGTATTTGTGGACGTAGAAAATGTTTCAAGCAGTATGTTTTATTGTTTGAAATTACCAGATAGTTTTATTGTGCAAAACAGTATATATTCTTGCTCTTGTAAGCATAAATTTTTGTTGCAAAGTGAAAAAGCTAGGCTACTATCTTTTCTTGCCTTAGATTATAAGAAATAATCTAAGAACTATGCTTAGCTCTGACTGACCTTGAAACATAATTGGCAAGCATGCCTGTCTCTATGGGATATACCATTGGGTAGATAAAAAAATATGGGATTATAATTAAAACCGATAAAGCTGCAAAATTAATCAACAGAGTTTTTAAACTTACTGGATGAAAATAACAGAATAATGTATATTGCCTACATAGTAGTACATGTTATATATCTTCCAAACCAAAGTATACAGTATATAATTATCAACTTTATTCTTTGATGCCTTTATAATCATTAATATTAAAGATTCTTAAAAACTACAGATTTTCACACTCAATGAATAAATAAACAAGTTTTATTTTTCCCTGTAAACATTGTTTTATGAATCCGTACATTTCATACATCAGTTGGGTTATGTGCTTCTATAATTATTGTCATCTTTGTGAAGAATCTTACTATTCATTTTGTTTTTCTAAAAAAAAAACCTGGCTAAGTTTGAATGTTATTTCTAATTATTCTTTATTTACTTACATTCTGCTTTACATAGAAAAATACTATACGATTACAACTGAGCCCAACATTTCTGTTGCTAAGTTTGCTAAGGCATTTTTAATTGAGTTTTGCCCCTTTTTATCAGCTTTCTTGCCACAATTGTTACGTGAATCACTGCAGATATTAAGTTAGGAAGACAGCTGTTAAGTTAAATCTGGCTTCCCCATTGATTCTGTTTGTCAGAAGGCCGCAAAGGTGAACTCATGTCTCAGGATATTGCAACCGTCATAAATACGAGTCGGTTTCCAAGAATCCGAATTTTGACCAGTTGACCATGGGGGGATGCTGCAATGGTTGTGTGAAAAACGGTCATAGGTCACTTTTTTCAGTGCCGTTGTAACTTTGAACGATCACTAAAAGAATTGTTGTAATCCAGTGGTTCTCAACCTGTGGTCTGTGGACCCTTGCTGTGATGTCATCAGAGGAGTCTGCAAAGGCTTGAAGAAATTTTATGGTTTAAATCTTGAGTTAAGTTTTGGTGGTCCATGGCCATGATCTGTGGCCACAAAAGGTATTTAAAGAGGGTCCATGGTGAAGAAAAGGTTGAGAACCAACTGCTATAATCTGGTTATACTGAGAAATATTTTTTTTTTTAAAAAAAAACAGCATCTGTTTACATTCCTGAAGCACTAATTTTAATATCCAAGCTCGATTAATCTCCTCTGGTGATCTGCCCAGGTGCATCAATGTTTGACACCCCGTTGAAACTTGGAATGGTAATCAGGACAAAGTAACAGAAGGGGGAAAGTATCAAATTATTAAGAGATTAACTTCATTAACTGTATCTAATTAGTTTAACTTTGATTCAAATTTAATTTAATCAAATCTGTTTTCTTCCTCACCCTTAAATTTATTTTGATAAACGGCATTTCATTTTTCTCACAGCCTCATCTACTTCTTGGTTCTGTCTCACCTACTTTAGTGTGGCCATTCAAAGATTGTGTGTGTGTGTGTGTGTGTGTGTGTGTGTGTGTGTGTGGTGTTCCCACTTTTATCAGGAAACTGTAGACATCAGTTTTATTTCCAAGCAGAAGTCTTGCGATGACATTACAAAACTGCCAAGATGTTGGCACTCCTGAAATGAAACTACAGGTAGTCGTCAACTTAAAACAGTGACCGTTCAAAATTGCAACAGCACCGAAAAAAGGACTTATGACCATTTTTCACCCTTATGATGTTGCAGCATCCCCCATAGTCATGTGATTTATATTTGGATGCTTTACAACTGGTTCATATTTATGACGGTTGCAGTATCCCAGGGTCATGTGATCCTCTTTTGTCATCCCCTTCTTACAAGCAAAGTCAATGGGGAAGCCAGTTGTTAAGTTTTACTTAACAACAGTGTTATTAATTTAACAACTGCAGTGATTGACTTAACAAATGTGGCAAGAAAAGTCGTAAAATGGGGCAAATCTCACTCAACAAATGTCTCATTTAACAACAGAAAATTTTGGCTCAGTCCTGGTCGTAAGTGGTAGACCACCCGTATCTTGTAATATTGAGATGTTTGAGCAATACAAGTAACCATATTTCCTTCCCCTTTTCCTTCCTGATAAGAGAAAAAGAGCTGCAGCAATAAAACCACCATTGGCCCCCACCTCTAAAGGAAAATCCATTACATCTCCTTTTTCAGGAAGTAGTAAGTAGAACAGCAGAGCTATATATGAATATGCACTGATTACATAGCTCGCACAGTTCCCCAGAGGGAAACATGCATATGTAATAAATACTGTAAATTTGTAGAGCAACTGGCCAATTAACTGCATCCTTGGCCTTCTGCAGAACAAAGAAAAATAACCGTGGCTTAGGGATCAGGAGCTGACCACAAAAATATGAGCTTTCTCCTCTCCTCTCTGGTTATGAACAACTTCCCCTCTGTCCAGACTAATTCTTTAAAAGATGTCAGGAGGCTGAAATAAATTACTAAATGCATTTTAAATTCAACATGCTGGGGCCAGGGGGAATGGACAGGACCTCCGTCCTTTTGCTTTCTCGACAACAAACCCAGGCTCAATTTTTATACTTTATTTAATTTTAAGAAAGAAGTTGCCTTCCACCCTCCCAACATGGATTGTTTTGCTCTTTCTAATCCAAGTGGGTTTTCTACTTCAACTCTCTGTTTACCTCAGTAGCCATATCACTTTATATCACTTCTGTGGTCCTGAAAACCTAAACATTGCTTTCAGGTGAACGTCGGATTTTTTTTTTAATTCTTATTTTATGGTTTATTTTTGAAGAAACACCATCCTACCTTTACAGCATCACTGAGAGTTTGGTTTTTGTCTGCCTCTTCCGAAGAATGCAATTCCAGTTTAAATTGCAACTCCTGGAGCTGCTGCGCCTGTTCCTTCAAAAGCATTTGTGCCTGCTGCTCCCGGAGTAATGCATTATTTAGTTCTTCACATGCACTTTCAAACCTCTCGTGGGTGATCAATTTCTGATAAAGGAAATAAATTGTGTTCTGTCATGAAGCAGCAGCATTGTTTATACACTTGATTTTCAGTACCCCACTTGCCAATATGCAACATTCTAATGTAAAAGTTTTAAAACGCTCAATATATTTGCCCTAGAGGCTGTCCTCTCCAAGCCAGGGCCATTAGACAATGTTAATGCCAGGTGATTTTTATTTGCAAGATTTCCTCAAAAAGCTGAAGCAGAAGTGCAGACATCCAGAAAGCTTTCCTTTCAAATTAGCCCAAGAAAGATGTTATACAGTATATCTAATTATTATTATTATTATTATTCTACAAAAGGAGTTAATTTGAACTAGAATTTCCATATTGCTCTATGTGTTTAACTACAGAGCCAGCCAGACTTCTCCTAATGTCTTATTTTGCACTGCCTAAAATGTTTTGGAAAAACTGGCCACCAGCCTATACAACTTTAGTCCTTATTTAGCCACTCTTGTCAATTTTCATGTTGCAAGACAAAATGAAAGAAATAAAAAGCTAAAACGTTGTCTCTCTACCCAATACAGCTAGAGATCAAACTACGGTTTTACCGGGACTCTTAAGATTATTTTATAAAATGGAACTTTCCTATCTCCATCTTCTGCTGGGAGAGGTGTTTTGCTTTGTACCAACTGCAGATAAAAAGGAATGGAAAAATCCCAAGCAAACCACATTAGTGTCAGCCTTTCAAGATAGTCTACATCAAGGAACAGACAAGCAGGAATTACAGGAGTGCTACCTTATTTACTTCCTTTATTAATCTAATCTGGAAAACCTGCCCCTTTTTAAGAACCATCACTGTCCCCTTTTATGGCTGTATTTAAAGTCAAGGTAGAGCTATTCTGAGGCTATTCCATACATACTCTATCCCAGGGGTAGGCAACTTTGGCTCTTTTATGACTCGCGGACTTCAACTCCCAGAATTCCTGAGCCAGCATGGCTCAGCATGGAAACCTCTCCCTTTCCCCTCAGCATGGCTGGCTCAGGAATTCTGGGAGTTGAAGTCCACGAGTCATAAAAGAGCCAAGGTTGCCTACCTGTTCTATCCCTTTTTAGTGTTGTCAAAATAATTCTTCCTTTCCCAGAAATTCAGACTATTTCTGGAAGACATGTGGTCTTTACAGAGGTCCTGGATGCAAACAATGTTGACATGTAAAGGAAAAGCCTTCAGAAGTCCAACATGCGGGCCTTCGTGAATGGTGACTATCTCCAGTCACATGAAACAGTAGCAAATACTGTTCATCTGCAAATAAACTGCCTCCTGTAATGCTGTCAAATAATAATCCCTGTTAGATCACCTGTTCAATCTGATGTGGACCTGGCAGAAACGTACAGCATGTACAGAATATTGGTTTGTTCAACAATTTTGCCAACCATTTGCAAAACACAGCATGCAATACAAGTAGAATGTATATCGAAATATACTGAGTTATGTTGTCCATTTGAGTTTTCAAATTCCAGTTCTCCCACAGCACAAACTGCCTAATTTAACCAACCAAAAATTCAGCTTTTCTGAATAGATTATTGACTCAATCTAGTTAAAGGACTAATTGTACCAGGACTATCTTTGGCCTTTTCTTTTAATATACCTGACTCACAGTTGAGAATTTACAAGATACCGGGAGGGGTTTTGTGCATGTGTTAGGGGAAGAAAGAATGAAGAATCCCACCTAAGAATCCAGAAGTTCTTCACTGGATTTTTAAAAAACTCTAAATAGAATTTCCTTCTTTAAAGCCGATTATTCCCTCCCTCCTTCTAATCAAATAGACTTACAGATTGCTTAAACACATATAATTGCTCTTGCAAACTATGGGCTTTGTCAGCCTCTTTCTTCATCTCATTCAAATTCCGTTTGAATTCGGTGAGCTCCAAGCGCAATGACCGCCGTTCTACCTCTGCTGTGTGCAGCCTTTGTGTAAATTCAAATATCTGCTTCTGCAAGGACGCTATGGTTTTCTGGTATTAAAAACAGGAACAATGTGTTAGCTAGTAAATATGCTGGTTGGGCAATAAATCAATAGCCTCGAATACCTGAGCAAATTAAGACAAAGCCCCCCCATTTCTAAATTCACCCATAAGTGTAAAGTATTCTCAAAGCAACTCTAAAATATATATATATACATAGAAGGTATTTTCTGAAAATGAAAATTAGCAAGAGGAGCAGTTACTGTATTTTTGGAAAATGTCTTTGGTAACAGCATGTATCCCGAATATGCAGTGGGTAATCACAGGGTTTTTTAAATTAAAATCATCCATTACCTTACAGCGGTATTTTAAAAGAACACTGCACATTGCCTTGAGCGGCAAATGGCAGAAAGGATGCTAAAAGGTTTTGGGGGAAGAATTACTGAAATAATATCAAATTGTGGGAAAGCCTGAAAAATATTGCCTCTTTTCTCACACCTCCTCAATTTTCCTTTGGAGAGCTGAGCAGTCAAGGATTAACATTTCGAAATCCGAAACAATGGGAAAGCTTCTAGAATGTAACTGATCGTGCCCATACCAACCGTAGCAGGGGTCCTGTCAGTTATGCGTGCTTCGAGGGTCTGTGCGTTTATTTTATGGAGCCCACGAGCCAGTCTTTGAACCAAGGAGTCTTTCTCTGCATAAGTCATACTCCGGCTGCTGTCCACTGGAGTAACTTCCATCACGGTGCAAAGTTTCTCCATAAGTCTTGAAAATGAATTTCTTGCTGCGTTGGTGAGCAAGTGTCCTGAAAGCCAGGATTTCATATCTTTGAAAGAAAAAGAATCAGTCTGTGAATAGAGTTGGTTTGTATCTGTGGACGCATTAAAAAAAAAAGGGTTGGAAGTATCTAATGGAGGTAATAATTGATGACAAGTTCCTGCACAGGGTTGAGCTTTCTTAAAACTCCCATTCTAAGCAATTTCACTGAAAGTTTATTAAGGTCTACTGAACTGAAGGGTGAAAAGCAGGATTGCTTATCCCATAGCTGACTTCTCAAAACCTCTTTTAGTGAAGAGGTTTCAAGCAATTAAGTCTACAATCAAAATCAGGCACTCTCTGCGGAATATTTTTCATGAAAGCATTTGAATTTTAGAAAAGGCCTAATGTAAATTTCTAGATGAGCTTCTTAAAAGGTGTGATAGAAATATTCTTGGAATAGGAGGTCCTTGTCACTTGGGAGCTATGTCACCTTGACCGGTAGCAATCTGTAACAAGATAATGCTGCTGTTGGTGAAAAGATTTTATTTTTTTGTCCAGCTTCACAGATAGAGATATTAAATTCCTATTAACAACCATTTAAATTGCACTTCCACATTCAATAATAGACATTGGTTCAAGAGAAACAATGGGTTGGTTGAAAAAATTGTATGCTCTTTTGCAACCTTGCAGCATTTTTGCTCTTTCATTAATCCAAAGGTAACAAATATGACACTTAAGACTTGCCGGAGAAACAGACTCAAAACTGCTTATCAGAATCAATGAATTTACTAATTCAAAACAGAAGGTAAGTAACTGCTACAAATATGACTGTTCCTTTTTCTTTCCTTATAGCTTGGATGTCTAAATCATGTGCTGCTTAAAACTACTGAGGCTTGTACCTTAATGCCATACTATTTATATTCTAAGACAAGAGAATATAATTTACCTTATTCCAAGGCAATTAAAATTTTACAACTACAATTACTTATTTCCCCATAGGATTCTGGTAATCAGCCTTCTCATATAATGGGCTTAAGCCTCCAGCACACCCAACATGTTCTGCTTACTGGTAGATTCGTCAGGTCTGTAATTAATAATTGTGTTTAATGTTGATAAATAAAATTGTCAGTGCTCCTTCTACTAATTGGTATTCTAGATAATGGTTAATAGGTTTATTTATGCCTTAATAAAAGTCTTGTAATTTAGTTTCCCCTCTGCAAGTCAGGTCTTAATCTGTCATTACTTGTCTTGTGATATTATCAGGGTAAGATGACAACCATGGCAGAGCTTAAATTCATTCAGGAGAATACCAGATCTCTTGTTGCTGTAGAGAATTAAAATATTTGTTCTAAAGTTTAAAGTAGAAAGCCTCTGAAGGCATATTTTCAGAGTAAGCCGGCTTCCTGCAGGCATATACTCTCATATACACACGCTGCTAAAGAATGAAAATGAAGAGGTTTCCATTTTCTAGGTAAAATGAAATACAAATAAGACTCCCAGAAAATTCTTACCATCTGTTACCAGATGGAAACAGATCTGGTAACATCTAAATAAAGTAGGTGCTGCTGAATCAATTTTTTTTTCTATGAAACAATAAGAGCAGCATTCATTTTTTAATCTTAGTATGTACAAAACTTGTTCGTATAAAATAATCTCTTCTAATTACATGTCACCTTGGCAGAGACCCAAAGTATGCTAGCTGGCTTACTCAGAGGGATGGATGGATTCATTTATTCATTGCTTGTTGGAGAAATCTTCTTTGAATTAAGGATCATTCATCTTTCATTACCAAAAAATCATATTCTTTTCAGAAATGGTGGCCTAGGTGACAAGGTAGGGTTCTTCTCTGAGTACATAAGCTTAAGGTCCTCGGACACTCTAGAAACTTCTAGAATTCTGTAAGGTATGATCCAAATGCAGGAAGCTGACCTTAAATACCAACTAGAAATGTCAAAACAGTTATGTACATTTTTTAGTTTTTTTGGCCATGGCATGGAATCAGAGATTGGAAGATGGATTGAATTAAATAATAAAATGTGATAATGTTTTAAATATTTTTTATCTTCTTTTAGCAAGAGTTTTAAATAAAATTGTAATCTGGTCAAACACTAGAGTCGGACCGATTGAAATATCATAGTACTTGAGTGTATCATTCCATTTAAAATTAGAAGTTCAGCCTGTGATAAACATAATTTTCAAGTTAATACCATAACAATCTTGTATTTAAGGCTTGCCAGATAGATTTGGAGGGGGGAAAAAGAGGCATGGAAAAAAAGAAAAAAGAAAACTTATCTAGGATAGAAAAGCACATGCCATGCCATCTAAAAGCAAAACATCACCTCAACTGAATTTTTAATGAATAATGGTTTTGACTAAAACAAAGAAATGTATGGGTTAGAATCATTCACGGCTTTGAGAGGTGAAATGAGAATACAACACAATTCCAGAAGGTCCTGTATTCTGCTGTATCTATAACCAGAGGGAAAAGAATATATACACTTTAAGTACCTGGCCACAAATATCTAGGAATTACAGTAAAAGCACTAAATAATTTATGTTATGATGAGTGTGTGAGACATGTTTTATACAAACAGTTACAGTACAAAGAGCAACAAACAAATAGAGCAAGTGAAGCAAAACCCAATGAAAAGTGACAAATATTACTCCAGTGACGGGAGAATGGCAGGCATTTTTCTTCTTCACAAAGGAGGAGGATAAAATTCCTTCCTCATATTTACATGCCAAAAAGATTGTCCACCTTTGAAATTCAGAACTGCAAAGGTTCACCAATTGCTCTGTCAAACCGACATAATGTTGGCTTCCCCGTAAACTTGAGTGTAGTGTTAAAAAATAGCCCTCATGTAAGAATAAATTCTGTGGCCTGGTTCCAAAAAGCTACTTTACGTGCACTCTAGAGGTTGCACACGTGTCCAGTGGGATTGTATGTTTATATGTGTCTTTGAACAGCAGACCTCAACATCATATCTACGGTAACTAGTTTGAAACCACTCTCCATTTCCAAAAGCTGTGGTCAAACAAAAGTTGGCTGAGGTTTAAAAGCAAGCCCCAAATACGCTTTGATGCATGAAACTACTTGCAGTCTTCTTCAAATTATGGATTTTTGTTGTGCATATTAACTTAAGATAAAGTTCCTTGCCTCGTTGGAAGATGGTTTTGAAGATGTGCCATCTGGAGCCCTCAATGGAATTCATCTTTGCTTGACCAACTATGTTTCAACAAACTGCAATCCTCTCCAGCACCAACCCACCCCAAGCTGTTGAAGAAATGCATTCTAACCACACAGAGCCGATGAAAAGGATAAATATTTGTCACCTTGCACAGACATGCCAAGACACAACATTTCTTAAGCAGTAAGATCATAGTCACCTAAAATATGGCTTCAAGGGGTGAACTGAATAAACAGGCCACCTGGGCAGAAAGAATCCCACACAGAATAATATATGTGAATATTTGTCAGCAGCCCCTGAGCCACAACCCCCAGTCAGCAAGCATCAGTCTTTGGCATAAACAAGACATTCTTGAGATGTTGCTAGATGCTCAATACCTATCGTGTACTATGGCCTTTATTGCTGGACCTTTTAATACTCGCTAGCTTACGCAGTATCTACTTTTCATCTACTTTTTAATTCCCTCAAGTTTTGGGTATATAAAACAATCATTTACGGAGCATAAGCATAGTGTGAATGTGTGGATGAGCCCAAGATGTCATGTGTTCCATTGCTGTATTGGCCTCTAAAAGCTGGCAATTGTAACACCCAGAGGTGTTCAGATGTTAACTGTCAACAACACAGAACACTCTTGCATCACTTATTCTGACTGCACTTATTACCACTACTATTACATGGAGTAGGTTGAGCAGAGCCACGAACCAATGCTTTTTTTTCTATCCAGCTTTTGTTTTTATTAAAACCACCTGTATTTCTAAAGGAAGTCACATCTTCTCTTGCAACTCCTTATTTTTTCCATTTCCAGTTTTGGGGAAAAAAAAAAAACCTCTGAAAAGGCACTATTGACAATCTCTTTAAGTCAGTGCAGGACTCTGTAAATGAACTCTGAAATAATGGCTTAAGCCAAGGATTTTCAGACACTGGGGTACTATATACTATACCTCACCCACTGCACATCTGCGTGGGCAAAACCTAAAGTGAGTTTTGAAAGCCTCCCTGCTTTACCTGGGCCAACAAAGCAGGGACACTTGTCAAAATGAACCCCCACGTTGCTTAGGCAAGTCTGCAGCTGGCTTGCTTAGGCAGTGGGCTAAGCGGAGTCCAAGCAACTTTTGGCAGTGCTCCCATCCTTCCTGCAAGAGACTGATTAAAAAAAAAAAGTGTGTCTCACTCTAAATCAGGGCTGTCAAACTCAATTTCATTGAGGGCCGCATCAGCATTGTGATTGCCCTGAGGCGGCCGGGTGGGTGTGGCCAGGGTGGGTGCGGCCTACTGGGTGGGCGTGGATGGAGTGGGTGTGGCCTACTGGGTGGGTGTGGCCAGCTCTACATCGTTCACGTCAAGGGTGCCTATGGGGGCCTGGGCAGGAGTGGGACAGATCTGAGGATCTCTGGCAGAAGGGGGTGGGGACCAGGGCAAGTGCCGAGGCATGGTCCACTGGAGGAGCCTCACTGTTCCTCTCAGGCCATGTGGGGGGAGGCTTATGGAGCTAAGACTGAATGCGTTTCAGCATAGATGGCCACCACAAAATTGTACATTGGCTCCCGGCCGGCCTGGGCCAGGGCCAAGGCAGAGGGGGCCGTTCCCTCACTGTTTCCAGGATGGCTTCGCGGGCCACATGAAACCACTTCGCGGGCCGCATCCGGCTCCCGGGCCTTGTGTTTGACATGTCTGCTCTAAGTTGTTACACTGCTCAGGGAATCCTAACTGACAGTTTGAGAACTCTTTTCTTAAATTACAGTGATCACAACTGAAAACTTATCCTGGCTTAATAAAAAAGGGGGAACCAAACTAGGAGTCGATTCGCCAGACTCATCTTCTCCTTTGTAGCTACTGATAAAACTCTACATTGATTTGGACCATTTTGGTTCTTCAAAATACTCATGAGAACATCCAACTATAATTATAACCAGTTCGCTTCTAGATAACAGTAGTCTATGCTATCAACAGTCTGTCCCCTTTTTTAAGAAAGGGAATTGATTTATCAAGACAAGACCAATGTAGAAACTCAGACATTACCTGCCTTGCTAATTACTTCTTGTAGCTCAGCCATAGAACTAAGGACTGCAGTAAGAAGTTCACAACTGGTAAACCAACTGAATGCTTGAAGGCAACGAATCTGCTCCTTTTGTTGTCCTGCATCACAAAACGAGAGGAAAAAAATGAAATCTGTTTCATCCTTTAGCAACAGACACCTATTATTTACACAATTCATTACAGCCTGGCATGAAATCAGAATTGGACACATTTAATTTTGATTTTAATATAATAAATTTAAATATACTTTAAAATCTTTTCTGGATTCTTAATTTTCATATTGTTCTTAGAAAAGAAGTTATTTCAATTCCGAAAAATGCACAGAAAATATTTCTAATATATTTAAAAGAAAGGTGAAACAAACAATTTCCACACGAAATCAGAAGTTAAGAGGATAGTTATCAAGTACCTCCATGGTAAATATGGATTTTGCGATGGAGATAAATCTTCACGTGAAATAAAATGAATGAATAGACAAGTTCATTTTTGAACAATGTACCCACAAGTTAATTTTAAGAGTGCCTTCCTCTGTAGAAAGACTGTTTTAGAGAAATTACAAAAGAGGAACAAATTTTACTTGACAAGATTGATATTGAGCTGAAACTGGATTTAAAAATGACAGGATACAAGAATGATATTGAAAAAGCTGCTACACTGAACATATCAAAGAAAGCAACTGATCTCTCAATAATTAAGAGGGATATATAAATAAAAAACCAAGAGAGTGGCCTTTTCACATTAAATTGACAAAAGAGGTTTGTTAAAGCACTGAAGAATTTTGTGAGAAAAGAAAAAATGAAAATGTTAAGTTCTAGGACAGTATTTGAAGGGACTAAGTTCTAGGACAGTATTTGAAGGGACTAAAATTGGTAAAAGTAAAAGGAAGGAATATAAAGTTGGTTTATTTGATCAAAGTTAAAATATTTATGATATCATCTCTGGTAACCCTTTGTTTGTTGGTTGGTTTAATTTGTTTTCTGCCCATCTCGCCACAAAGATGTTTGATGATCAGGACTGAAACAAAGAAGTTTTAAAGTTGTTTTTTTTTTTACAGATAAGAGACAGCATATAGAAAAAAAGAAATCATGTGTTGTTTTTTAAGAGAAGGTGATTAAGTTACTAAAATTTGATTAAACTGGTGATGAAGGAAAAAATCTGTTATATATTTTTTTCTTTTTGTTTACTATATTATTTTTTTCTTTTCTGCATTTCCTATTTTTTCTTTTATTATTTTTAGTTTCTATTAGTTCACCTTTTTAATTGTAACTTTTAATAAAATTACTATTAAAATATTTTCTTCTTTGTACCTCAATGTGACATTTGAACACAGGCATCCTTGTTTATAAATAATTGTTTTTTACTTAGCACGTGATCTCATCCAAATGCAATTTAATTCGGGTCCAATTTACTATCAATTCAGCAATGAACATTCCAGTACATTTAACACCAACGCCGGGGGCTTCAGTTGTTTTAATTAACTTAGTAAATTTAGTTTTGACATTTTAAACATAATTTCTCTCTTCAAATTTTGAAGCTTCGGCTTCTCCTTTGCCTAATATGATGGTTATTTAAGTGCTAAAACTTTGACATAAAATATATAAAATTAGCTTGTTATCTTACTTGACAGATTATGCACATCCTTGGAATCTCCAATGCAGACAGGGATTCCTATGCCTTCTCTGACATCATCTACCCAGGAGAAAAGGGAGCTGCATGACTGGCCTAAAATCTGAAGCCTGTGGGCAGCCAGGACTGCAATAACACTTTTGCGGAAAAGATGTATCCAGCTTCTGGAATGCTTTTTCTTCTTCACCTTGCTGTTGCTTTGCTTCCTCTCCTCCGTTTCACACAATGCACTGGCCAGTGTCCTGATTTCTTGCTTGAAAATGTCACAAGTGTTGACCTGATCCTGAAGAACATCCCTCTGGGTCGACAGGGCACAGGACCTACCGTAGAGGGGATAGAGTGCTCCAGCGAGCAGCGCGCAAGCTGCTAGCAGAGATCTGTGTTCTTTCTGTGTCTGCGTCAACAAGGCTTTAAGGTGTGAATTCTCAAGGAGCAATTGCTCTTGGACTTTTTCAATAGCAGAGAACTTGTCTTTGGCTTTTTCTGCCATGTCTTGGTATTTCTGTATTGGATAGAGGAAAAAGATTTTTAACTTTCTACGAAACATAGATACAGAATGAGAATTGATCGGTCTACTGCTGACCAGCCTGCAGTAAATGAAGCTGACCTACTTTTCTTATATTTATCCTGTGAAATGTGTTTGGCTGACAGTTGATTGAGTAGGCCAAAGTCACCCCATGATTCTCATAGTCAGGAAGAAGTTTGAAAACAAGTCCAAACTTCCAACTGTTACATCAGAGGTCCCCAACCCCCGGTCCGTGGACCGGTACCGGTCCTTGGCATGCCAGCAACCGGTCCGCACAAACAAGCAAAGCTCCATCTGTGGGATGCAGGTAGCACACAAAACCACGCCCCCTCCGGTCCATGGAAAAACCTCTCTCCATGTAACTGGTCCCTGGTGTCTGAAAGGTTGGGGACCTCTGTACTACATCACACATTGGCTATATCAAAAATGTATTTCTGTCAATACATGATCGAGCTCTGAGATTCAACCTGAATGCCATTATCAGTCAACTATCCAAAAATGCCATCTTCTGGAAAGTGGTTGTAAACTGCAATGGTCAAGATGCACATCTGTGGAACAAAGGAGACTTTAAAAATTACAACAACGAACAGAAGTTCCCGTTGCTGTAATATTTAAAATACAAATAGTAGTCCTCGACTTACGACCATTCCTTCAGTGACTATTCAGAGTTATGATGGTGCAGCAAAAAAAAAAAAGACTGATGGCCTGTGCTTGTAGTTACAGCAACTGCAGTGCCTCTGTGATCATGTGATGAAAATCGGAGCGCCTGGCAGCTCAACCCGAGGGGCGCTTCAATTTCTCCACTGGCCTATTCTCCCCCGCCCTCATATATCCTTTTTGGCCTCTGTAATGGAATGTGTCTAAACATCATGTGTTCATCCCAGTTGCCAAGGAGCTGAATCTTGATCACGTGATCGCGGGGATGATGCAAAGGTCATAAATTTGAGAACCAGTCGGAAGTCATCTTTTTCAGTGCCTTTGAACAGTCACTAAATGAATGGTTGTAAGTTGAGAACTACCTGTAATTCCGGAGCTGAGTGCAGGACAGGGCAGGGCAGCTAAGGGACAGAGATGGGAGGAGATAATCAGGTAGGGAGAGTTGGAGGCAGTCCCTTACCTTACTGAGGCCTGGGGTTGGAAGAGACTACTCCCGGAATGGTTTGGATCGGGATGGGTATTCGCTTAAGCCACAATTCTCAATTACCACAAATTGCCATTGTAAGTTCTCACAGTCATTTGGCATCTCGTTTTATGACCGCACCAATTTATGACGGCAATGCCAGTCCCCATTGTGATTGTTAAGTCAAGGACTACCTCGACCACAATCTCTTCTCCTTCTCCAATAGAGAAAGCTAGTTGTATCCAGTGATTCGACAATGGACCCTGGTCCTGAAGCTATTTCAAACAGGAGAGCGCTCAAAGAACTCAATTCAGTATTGATCCACCAGTCCCTGAACACATCTGGAGGAGAGAGTCGTTAAAGGAAGCAACATGACGCTTGAAATCCCATCCATCCTGCAGAGACCAAATTAAACTTCTGTTGTTCTTTTCTTCCCTATTCATTGGAGATTTGGCCACTGATGCCTTTTGCTCAGAAACAGAACTTCATCCAAACTGTGTATGAGAAGCATTTCATAGACCTGGTATTCCTAATTAGAACATTTCCAAATAAATGGAAAAGGCTTGTTGTTCAATAATCAAGCACCTATTTTGTATACAAAGCCCCTACTAGATTTACCCTGTAGCATCTCCATGTAGCACTGAAAACACTCCTATATGGAATATTATTATTAAGCCTCAATCAGAAAATGTGGCCAAGACTTAACTTAGTTAAAGCTGTGGCCTGGCTCATTACAAGAAAGTGTCCATTATTCCTTCCTGCTTAACTTTATGACTAGTAAATCCAAGAATATACAGCACATCTTAATCATGTTATCTGTACAGAAGACAACAAGCAAGATCTATGATTCAGAAGAACAATTATCCTGCTTGGCAAAGATGACACATGGCTGGGATAAGTTAGTTTAGCGAAAGAGAATAGTAAACTAGGGAAAACCTGCAGAGACAGAAATAGATAGGTAGCAGCTGGAAAGAGGAAAGTAAAGGTGATCTTTTAATTACTTTGTAATCAACCCCCTACTTATATATTCACAGATTAATTATGCCTCAGGAAGAATTTTATTTTCAAGAGAACGTTCTTTGTTTTATTTTATCAATCACACATTGCTTTACTTTTCACAACTCTAAAAACCGCTACTCCAACAAGCAGAAAAATGAATGTGAAGAAAAACCTCAAGCCTTAAAGCACGTTAACTACAGTATAAAGACTTAATATTCATTACAACACAGAACAAGAGAGAACATATTTTACAGAGACATCATTACAAGAATATCAAATGACGACTTCATTCAAAGCTACAGCCCTACTAATGCCCCAAATCACCTTCTCATTTCATGAATAAGGAGGTGGGAGATGATGACAACTGGAAATCGTAGGACGGCTCAGATCCCAGGGTTGCTCAAAGGAATGGTCTTCAAGATCCAGGATTAAATCTGAATTGGCTGTAACCATATACATTCTATGGTCCTCACTATGATTATCACTTTGGGAATCATAGTGGAACTTTAGGAGATGACCAGGCTGAGCCCAAGGGAGGGGTCAAAAGCATTATAAGTGATGAGATCTAAGTCCAGCCCACTTTGAATGCCTCTCTTATCTCCTGCGCATTTCCCTTGACCGTGAGTTGGTCAGATTAATGTCAATCGCCTGGAAAGTCAGGAGATTTAGACAGTTCAAATGAGTATAAAGGTTTGTTGCAAGCTTAAGCTCTCTACAAGAATCTGACGAACTAGCAGTCAAAGGAAATGGGCGGGAGATAAGAGAGGCATTCAAGTTGGGCTAGACTTAGATCTCTGGTGGGCGAGCAGGGAATCATGACTTATGATGCGTTCGACCCCTCCCTCGGTCTCAGTTTGATTATCTCCTACAAGAACTTCCTATTGGGAGAAGCCCTTTAGATTCCCTACTGCCAGTGTTCCTCTCTACATTCAAGGGAAAAGACGATGTAGAATATTAATTATTTAATTGGGGATCAAGGCTTCCCCCTCCCCCTTTTTGCCTTGTTATACTCAGTAGCTGAATGTACATTTAGGAGATCCTATGTTGTCTATAAAGCTAAGGGTTTTTCCTCTCGTTATTTTTAATCTTAAGCCTGGAAATTTTAAGGAAGTTTACAAGCTGTTTAAAATGCTTTTGCCGTTCTGAAATCCTCATGCGCTTTGCTTTTGCTTTGCTTTGTTTTTCCACTAGGAATGGTGACCGTGGTTGGAAATTTGCTATGGAATGGCAGGGGGCATGATCTTGAGGGAACTAAGGGCTGCTGCCTAAGTTGTTATATTTTTTTAAAATGTCTAATTGAGATTTCTAGGGCCATCCAAATCTCACTGATCCTGGATGCTATACAAGGTTAAAAACAATCACATTCAAGACAACCACACTACCTTCCCCCCCCCCACACACACACAAAAAATACGGTCATAACCAGAGGAATAGCCATAGTGCTAACATTGCATGCAAAATCAGTCCCTTAGTGGAGACACACCCCACTCTGGTTCAAGGCCTGGGGAAACAGCTAAATTTTCAGAGCTTGCTTGAAAGAAAGCAGAGACAGGACTGCTCAAACATCTGGAGAAGTGGTTCTTTAAACTGTTGGTCTCGGTGACCTTTTTTCCTATCATGATTAATGTCATCCCCCCTCCTCAAAAAAAAAATCCCAGACTGTGTTGCTTTATATAAGGATCTTGGCAGTGGCAGTCCCAAACTGCAGTCTCTCAAACAAACAAATTGATCCATTAACCCCAGGATATGTCCAGATTACTCCAGTTTAAGAACTATTGCTCTGGAGGAATGCCAATCAAGAGGGCAGGAGCTATGTCTACTTTTAGTTCCCAAAAGTGCCATTATTTTATAGATGGGAGCCAGAATATGCCATTTCTCAGGTTTTATCAGATTTTAAAGCTAAAGTCAACATAGAAAGGGTTATGAAATAGAGTATGGCGATATAAACAGTAAGCCAAAATCTTCCTTTATTTAAATAAATATATTTGCCATGAGGACAAAACCTGGGCAGATATGAGCTATTGTATGGGAAAAGTCGAAAGTAGTCCTTAAATTTGTACAAATAGTATAAATGAAATCCAAGACCGTCTGTTAATGCTGACTGTGCAGAATCTCATTGCAGAAACTTATTTTCATGCTGACACTAGCCAAACCAAAAACTGGCAATTGTGTAACTACGGTACCGTAAAGCATCCAAAAGCTATTCTGGCTGCAAGGCTGGCCATAGCGCTGGCTATGACAACTGCTTTACACTACTGTTCTTCACAATTTAAAATGTTGACACCTCAAATTGTAAACTGTTCATTTAACAATGATTCTAAGCTATGCTGGCTTTGGAAAAAGTGACTTATGACTTACCTCACACTCATGGCTTCACACCTCCCCCCCCCAATCGCATGACTGCAATTGGGGTGTTTGACAACCAGCTTGAATTTATGACTGGTTACAGCATTCTAGGGTCACACATTTGTGATATGAGACCTATTTTGCTGATTTTCAGCAAAAAAAACCCAACCACCTTATTGGGGAAACTAGATTCGCTTAACAACCTTATGATTTGCTGAACCGCCATAAAAATTGTCAAAAAATTGGGTCAATGCAATGACTGTCCCTGTCCCAGTTGTGGTCATAAGTCAAGGACTACCTATCAATAAATTTCCTCCTTAACTTCACAAAAGTTTGGGACACCCCTTGTACTTTGAAATCATGACATGACTGTTCAGTCATTGTTATAACTGGGATTTGAATCTGCATTAAACAAAACCAACATCCCAGCTTTTCAAACTATAGCTTGCTGTAAACAGGGCCTATAGGAAATAAGTGCTGCTCTTTTATTAAATACCAGTTAGTTGGCTGA